AAAAGGGTGATTGGCAAGGATGTTGGGAGAATAACTGAAACCCTCGTGCCACTGTGTGTGGAAATGCTACAAGGTGAAGCCACCTGGAAAAAAACAGTTAAAATGGCAGTTTTTTTTTTTTTTTTGGATAGCAGCCATCCCAATGGGTGTGAGGATACAAAAAATCTGACTATTAATGGAGACTTATCTGTACTTTTATGAACTTAAAAACTCCCAAGGGAATCGGGCGTGGGAGCTCACACCTGTAATCCCAGCACTTTGGGAGGCCAAGGTGGGCAGATCACGTGAGCTCAGGAGTTCGAGACCAGCCTGGCCAACATGGTGAAATCCCATCTCTACTAAAAATACAAAAAATAAGTTAGCTGGGCATGGTGGCAGGCATCTGTAATCCCAGCTACTCGGGAGTCTGAGGCAGGAGAATCGTTTGTACCCAGGAGGCAGAGGTTACAGTGAGCCGAGACTGTGCCATTGCACTCCAGCCTGGGCAACAAGAGTGAAACTCCATCTCAAAAAACAAAAGACTCCCAAGGGACTTACTATAAGTCAACAAACAACAAACCAACCAACCAATAAAAATTCCTAGAGGAAAGAAATCCTCTGTGTGGGCAGCCGAAGCCCAGGTTTAAAGGCCTTCAAGTTGGGGTATGGGAAAACTGGGGAGGGGAGGGGGGAATGTTTTCATACTCACAGAGAAAAACACCTGTGGTTCAATAAACGTTGCTCAAGGTCTAAGCCAAATCTAAATATAGACAATACAAAACTTGCAATAAAAGAGCAGGACATCCACACACACAAACAAGCACACACTCAATATGAAACTTGCAATAAAAGAGCAGGGCATCCACACACACAAACAACTACCGCATTTACTTAGCTACAAGCATGAAGACAAAAGTTTTGAACAGCATATATAAGACAAGCATAAAAATTAAACTATTTCATTGTCACATTTCATCTTTTTAAAATTTTTTTTGAGCTGGAATGCAGTGGCGTGATCTTGGCTCACTGCAACCTCCACCTCATGGGTTCAAGCAATTCTCTTGCCTCAGCTTCCCGAGTAGCTGAGATTACAGGCGCCTGCCACCACGCGGCTAATTTTTGTATTCTTAGTAGAGATGGGGTTTCACCATGTTGGCCAGGCTGGTCTCGAACTCTTGACCTTGTGATCTGCCTGCCTCGGCCTCCCAAAGTGCTATGATTACAAGTGTGAGCCACCGTGCCTGGCCCCACATTTCATCTTTAACTCATATAATGCAAAGAATTTAAAAGATGACCTTAATGTTATACAGTCATCTAAAGAGTTAACTAAGATCAAAACTATAGACATAAGAACTGAATAAAAGCAGCTGGGCGCGGTGGCTCACGCCTGTAATCACAGCACTTTGGGAAGCTGAGGTGGAAGAATCATGAGGTCAAGAGTTCAAAATCAGCCTGGCCAACATGGTGAAGCCCCGTCTCTACTAAAAAATACAAAAATTAGCCAGGCATGGTGGTGTGCACCTGTAGTCCCAGCTACTCGGAAGGCTGAGGCAGGAGAATTGCCTGAACCCGGGATGTGGAGGTTGCAGTGAGCC